ACAAATTTTAGAATTCGATTTCAGAATTCTCATGACTCGATCAACCTGGAAAATTGGAAAAATTTTAGAAAAAAAAATTAAAAATTGTCAAAAAAATTGTTTTTTTTCAATTTTTTAAAATTTGTAGTTTGTAGTCTAAATTACCTCTTCCTTGCTTCTCACAACTGCCATATGTGCCTGAAATGCACTTTTCCGGTCTGTGAAGACCTCTCCATGCTGGATATTCATGTCATCCACCTCCTCTTCCACTGAAACCCTTGCCACGTCATCAGCAACGTCTTCAGCGACTTTTGGCTTGTTTTGAGGGAGATCCTGGAAGAAATTGAGCAATTTCCAGCTTTTCAAATATCAGAAAATCGAAAGTTGTGAAAATTACCTGAACAAAGTCCTGAATGGCTGAAATCCAGTTGAAAATCACTGGAAATCCCATATTTTCAACGTAGATTTCGTTCAGGTTGTTGTGAATCATTTCTTTTTGGTCCCTGGATAGATATGGACCCGATAGGACGAACGTTGGAGGAGATCTGGAAAAAAATTATTTTTGAAAAATTTTGAAAAAAGGTTTTTTTTGAAAACAATTTTTCAGATGTTTAAAATGCCTTACATTGATGGATAATCGTCTGGAAGCAGGATATCTATGCTAATATTTTTTTGAAATCGAAAAATCAATTGCTTCTCTGAAGAATCCTCTAGGAGATCCGGAAAAATCGCGGCTAGTGACTCGATTTCAGTTAGCCTCTGCTCCTGATCGCTCATTTTCTTGTTTCCGAAATTTTTAAAATCAAAAATGATGAAAATTGACTGAAAAATGCTAAAAATTGAATCCTAGACATGCAATTCTACTAAAAAATCTATGGTTTCTCATTAGAGCGCACTTGCTGCACACTGACGTCATTCGAGAGTTTTTTCGGCGGTTTTTCATGATTTTTTCCAGTTTTTTAGAGATTTTCATCAGTACAAAACAGTGAAATTCAGATTAATATGAAAAAAGTATTTTTATCGTTAAATAATTTTTTTTTCGCTGAAAATTTTCAAAAAAAAATTTTTACTTTCAAAAATTTGCAGATCTCGCTCCACTATGAATAATTTATCGGTGAATGGAGGAGGAAATCAGCTATTCGCAAAGCCCACAATTGGACGGTCCGAATATGGCCGGGTGAAAGTGGCGTTGGCACCAGGAAAAGGGCTTATGGACTGGTTGAGGCTTACAACCAATAAAGTGAGGGATTTCTGGAATTTTTGAGTGCTTTT